TCATTTTTGGTCTGAACAGTATACAAGCCAATTATTATTTCACACAGGGAAGCAGTTCACGACAGAGTGGTGAAGGAAAACTGAGTTGGTCATCATTATAGAAATTAAAATGAAATTATCACTTATGACATGATACAGCTGTTATTGTATCAATCTAATCGGTTATGGAAGCTTGCTTCATCAATCAAATTAGAAGCAGTCACAATTTCAACTAACACTAGCGTATTCCGCAAGTTTCCGGGGAAACCTCTTCTTTCAGAAATGTCCGCAGGAAATTTTGTAAAAACGAACAGTAAACATACAACAAGCACTGTTGTATCATGAAAGTTTTTTCTCGTGAGTTTCTTAGGAGATTGTTTGAGGAAATTACATTGCACATACGTTCGACATTGTCAGTTTCCCTAATAAATCCTCCAGGAAGCGGGGTTTCTAGGAAACACTTAAGGAAATAACCGTTTAAAAAGAAAATCTTCTGACTGGAAGTATTGTTCCGTCCTGTCAGTTTCCTAAAAAGACATTCAATGTAAGATAACTTTGAGGAAAATGACATTTAAAACAGTGAACAGTCTGCTTTATTTAGACGTTTCCAAGGATCAGTTTGTAAGAAAGGAAGTTTGACAATAAAATGAAATTACTGTTAACACTGTAAGTTTCCCCCAGGAAACCCTCCAATTAGAAGTATCCATGGGAAATCTTTTGGAAAAAATGCATTTGGGCATAGCATAACATTTAGGAGATAACTGTATTGTTTTTGAAGCTTTGCGGACGTTCATCGGTTGTTTAGCTGTTGCAAATTGAGTTTACATAGCGACGAATAATTTTCTCTATTCTAATGCAAAATAAATACATAGTTCAATTTTAATCATTAATTCAGTGTAAAATTTTCATTATACGAAAATTCCGCTAAATGCTTTTAAAAGAGGGACGAAAGATACCAGAGGGACAGTCAAACTCATAGATCGAAAACAAACTGACAACGTCATGGCCACAAATAAAAAGACAAACAGACAAATAATAGTACAGATGACACAACATAGAAAACCAAGGACTAAGCAACACGAACCCCACCAAAAACTGGGGGTGATCTCAGGTGCTCCGGAAGGGCAAGCAGATCCTGCTCCACATGTGGCCCCTAAACTAGGTGACGTGAAATTCTAAGTTCAAAATGTGAGTGGTTTTGCTTATTATTGAAGATATTACAAGTCATACATTCTGGAATTAAAAATGTCGGCTTCCTTAGTTACAGACAAGGAGATATAGAATATAACGCTTACTGTCATCCAATCAGAACCATTGATATAAAATAATTGCATTAAAATTGACACTTTCAGTTTCCTTAGAAAGCAAACCATTCCTTCAGAATCAATTCATAATAGATACCAGGATTGAAAATGTGTACGCCATTCACGCGTTTCGTCAACAAAAGACTCATCAGTGACGCCCGCATCGAACAAGTTAAAAAGGCCTAAAAAGTATGAAGCTAAAGAGCATTGAGGAGCTAAAATTCCTGAACGTTTTGCCAAATACAGTTTATCATGCTTATGTTATCATTTCCTGAGGTAAACAATCCTTAGTATTTCGAAAACTTAAAGTTTTGTAAACAGTTAATCTTTAATAATGACCATATCAATTATAATTCATGTCAACACAGAAGTGCTGACTACTGAGCTGCTGATACTGACGGGGAACAAACTCCACCAGCAGTGGCATCGACCCAGTGGTTGTGAATACACTCACCATAGATACCAGGATTGAAAACTTGTACTCTAGACGCGCATTTCGTTAAAAAAAGACTCATCAGTTGCGATCGAATAAAAAAAGTTAAAAAGGCCATAAAAGAACGAAGGTGAAGAGCACTGAGGACACGAAATTCGTAAAAGGTTTTGCCAGAAGTTTCGAAGGGACATTTTTTAGGAAATAGCGTTTGTCATATTTGTTTGCACCTGTTTTAAGAGCCAATCCGCCAGAAAACCATGCAATATTCAGAAAATCGTCCAAATCGACAATCACAACTTGACAAATTTTTATACATCATCTTAATCCTTGACATAAAATAAAAGAATTTGACCACTTAATTTTTCCCAGAATCGTATCTATTTTTAGTAACAGCCTCATTTGCATAATTCTGTAAATTCATAATGAAACCAAGGAAAAATCCAACTTTGTTATGCCTTTTAAGAATGACCCAGAAGCATATTAAACGGGGTAGTTGAGTTTTTAGAGTAATGTCAGCTGAAACTCATCCATTTTACTATGTTATGATCAATACAAATGAAAATTTAAACGATTTGGCACATTGCCAGGAGCAGGGACACAAAGGCGGGGTTTTTCATACATGAATTTACTTGGTTTTCATTCGCTTCTGTCTTGCAAGACCCTTTCCGGATTTGTTTGCAACTTATATCGGTTTTAACTATGGGGTATGTTTTATATCAAAACAAAATATTAAGCTTGGCAAATGACTATCATATGTTAATTTATGCCTTGGAAGAATGGTGATTTTAGTCCCAAATTGACACATTTTGATTTTGATTTTAATTAAATTCTAAACACAATTGGTACTAAAATGGCTCATAAAATCATTCGAACAAGTAAAATCAATTTGTCTGAAAAATGAAATAAGACGTATTTGTACTGCAAGTCCAAAAATCAATAAATTGTCTGAAACCAGGGAGTCCATCTTTTATGCTCTTCCATTGACTTTATCTCCCTTGGGTAAGATCTCAAACATGTCAGCTCCCTGTGATGGTTTGCCAGACAAATGTTTACAGTGAAGTTTGTGACTTTAATAATCTAGGATGAGCATGTGGGCTATCCCAGCCTTATACATCTACATATTACAAACTATTTAAGATATCTGAATGCACTAAAGACCAAAATAGCATTTCCAAAAAAAATAATTACTGCCAAGAAATTTGACAATCATGACAATAAATTTAGATATGGCAAACCACTGGGAGATAACTCCAAATTACCCTAAATAATTGTTCCCAGATGTGTGTAAAAATAAAATCTTTGGATGACCTCCGATTACGGCCTTATATTAACTTGTTAAGTCTCAGAAGATTCTGATTGCTTTTGATAGATATCATATGAATATTCATGATTCTGTATATTATAATTTTCGGGAATACGATGAAATATTTGAGGTACAAACAAGGGTTTGAAAGTTACATTCGTTTCAAAAAAATTCAAGGGAACGTTATACAGCCATAAAATGTACTTTTTTATTAAGTTTAATATATTAATTAAATAATTATGTCCAATAAATAAATCTAGATAGCTGTGTTCATATCAAAATTAATTTTTATAAATAACCCTCCTTTTTGTGTATACATAGTTATTTCCCTTGCATGGACAACTTTTGGTTTAGTTTTGATTGGAAATCAGCGTAATAGTTTTTTTTTTGCATTATACAGTCAGTTTATTGCTATTTAAAGATAATTTAACCATTTGCCATTGCACACGAGATAGTAAGAATACTGAATAATGTGGTTTTTTAGACTGTATTTAACAGTACACTCTAAAAGATATTATTTTTTGTATACATATTTTTGGGTGTGTGTGTGTGGTCACATTAACTGAGTTGTTGAAATTTTCCCCACATATATGTTCTAAATACATTGGTATAATTAAATAAGGGAACGTAAAGGACACTACAGCTATCTACACAAACAGATTGTTAGAGGATTATCGAGCCAAAAAACTTGAGATAATACCAGAGATGGTAGGTCTCAAACCATGTTCGAAGTTCTGTTCAAGATATGTTTTGCTTGTAGTTGCACCGGAAGTGCAATTTTTTAATATGATTTCGGCATGATCATGTATAGGAATACTTGAACTAATCAAGTTTTACCTTGGAGCTTACCACTTTCTGTATTGATCAGTATTGAAGTAATTTCATGTCGAGAAAAAAAACACTAGCGAACACCATGCAATTTAATATATATCCTGAAATAATAACAATATTATATCTGGGAAGCTAAAGTCTTACTAACAACTAATGCTTGATACAGTGAAACTAGTCTAAACCAAACCCTGAATAAACCGGAAACCATGTTCTAAAGTCCCCTCATATCAGATTCAATGCATTTTGAACTTCAGTCTTGAATGAGATTGGTTTACAGATTTCACTGTATAAATATTGTAACTGATATACAGATATGAATTTACTTTACTTTTATACATACAAGTATTTACAGTGTTCTGACATAATTATTTTGTTTGAAATTTCTCAAATAAAAATAATGTTATATTTATTTTCATTGTTTTTCAGTGCAACAGGTATTTTAGACCTGTAGTATAATTGTTGGAAGCTAGGTTGTTGTTTATTTTTATTTATAAGCATTCACTATACATGCTATATATAAATAAGAATATTTCATTAAATAGAATGTTAATGAAAAGGAACATTCTAAAACTATCATGACTATACAAAGACAGATGACATACTTCAAAACTTTTCTCGTCTCTCATGGTACACACACACAAACATATACATTTGTATATAAAGAATAATATTCATATTTATATTTTGTTTCTTTACATTCAAATGTTTATAAAGTTTTACTTTACATTTTCAATATACCAACTGATGTTCTGAAGAAAGGAATATATAAAGGTATCGTCATCTTATGTGACTTTGGACGATAGAATTTCATGAGAGTGGTTGACATTTTCATGCTTTATGCTTCTATTTTAACCAAAAAACTTAACATGAAGGATTGAAATTGACTAACAAGATGTAAAAGAAGCAATATAGACAAATCTATAACCGAAATGATTAAAAAAATGTATTTTATTATTTTTCAAAGAGAGGAAACAGTTTTTCTAGAATAGTAAAAAATTACCATTTTGAAAATTTGCTATGTCTTCGTTGTTATTATGTGTATTGATAAAAGTGAAACTGTTTTGAAAAGGTCTTCACAATGCCTTTAAAATGAGGTAAAGTTTTCTTAGATCAGTTGATTTTAAAAAAATCACTTTCCGTACCTAATAAATTGAATAATTTAGTGAATAAACATGATAAATATTGATTGGAAAAATAAGTCCATGAACAGCAAAAAGTGTTTTTAGATTTCAAAGAGCAAAACAAAAGTATTCTAAATCATTCTTCTTTAAAAAAAAAGTGAGCCAGTGGAACCACCTTGCTCGCAACAAAATTGAGATTGACAGTGTCAAAACTGCTCTGGCGCACCATCAATAAATCAACGACACTCTCTCTACCGCGGTATTGAAACCAGCATTGGTAACCAAACATATTCATACAGATACAGACTACCATTCATCTACATTTAGGAAGTCTGAATAATACTGAAAACTATGGTGTAGAATTTCCAACAGGACTCCTTATTTTATATAAGACAAGGAGTGGTTTATTTTCCCATGGTTGTTACATCATCTTGTCTTTGAATATGCTCGAAGTACAGGGACTTTTATGGAATTCATTGACATGATAGTCAAGCAAGATGTCAACATCTCGTCCAACCCTCTTCCAGCAAAGCCAAAGCTGACCAAGGATCTTCACCCTTTCAAAACAGGCTGTATACAGGACGAGTTATTCCAGTAGGAACAGGTACAAATCTTACAATCAATTTTCATTTGTTCCATATAGTCAATCTGAAATTAGGGGACCAACAATTGATACATTAGCTAGATTAAAAAAAGGGGGGGGGGGGTGGGTGTTGAAGGGGCATGTGAATATTCTTTTACACCTGACCTGTTTCTAAGACATCTTATCTATTTCCTATGGCAAAGTGCAAGCAAATAATATATATCCGTATATACATTGTTCTGTCTTGGGACCATAAAATATTTGATTAAAAAAGCAAGGGGGAGGGTTAGAATGGTCAAAATATTTATGTCCTTGTCAGCTTAGGACAGAATTTTAATTTTCAAGCTATTAACCAGGGTACAATATATATTTATTTTCTGCTTAAAAAAATCAATTTATAGACCAGAATCATGATAATAATCAAAATCTATTTCAACATATTCAATGTTTAGCAGGTCAGGTTTTTATTCTCTTCCCCTAAGTTATATTTTCAGTTCTTACTGGAAGTTGTTCAGCTCTTTGTCTACTAAAAAAAGTTTTATCTCGTGGAAAAGCCTCCTACAAATACATGTTTTACATACAACAAACTGTACATGTAACACTAGACAACTTTATCCTGAGAATAATATTTTTTTAATGAACTAATAGGCCATGGAGACTCAAAAAATCAAAAGCATTGCAAACTTTTGTAAGGTTCAATTTTAGGACCCTACATGTACATGTACAAATGTATGTAGATTACTTATAGAGCCCTTTTTAAAAGAAAAAACATACATTTAAACTACGTGCACAGTGATGCTGCACTACCCTACATTTCCTGTCTGATATATTTTATTTCATGTAAAACAAAATTGAAGAATTATTTATAGTTTAACACTTTTTATTTGTAGGGCTATATATATGCAAGCAATACTCAATTAAGATGAATTTTTGTAAAAGTGACAATAGCCAGGTCAAACTAAATACATGTATAGAAGAAGATATTGGTAAGTTATTATTAACTTATATATTAATTTAACTGTTTGTATAACATGGTAATCATACAAAGTATATGTAATCACTTATATAATAACATAATTATACAATTACATGTTATACATTTGTACATCAGTTTTATTAAACAGGTTTTTGTTAACTTGGTTTTCCCATTGAAAAATCACTTTGCTAATTTTAATTTGTAGTACTATATTGGGCGGCTCCTATAGTTTCCATTCAATAACTAACAATGACTAATGAACTGTTCATACATTCCATTTCAATTATTTTATTTATTAATACGTATTACTTTTACTGTTAAGTCTGTTTTTTGTGATATCCATTTTACGTGACTCTGTATTTATGTATCCCGTCATACTTTGAACGACAAAATTATTTTATGAATTTCAAACGCGCGATTTTACGCCAGTACTTAAAACCTTCCATCCTTTATGGGTGGATTTTACATAGATATATAAAATCGTATAATATAAGCAAAATGAGGATGCTAAATTTGATGTATGCCTTTTTGTGCTTCTTCGTTACCTTTGTTTGTTTTTATAGTGATTAAGATGATAACACAATGTTGACTGCTGTACCCCTAATTTTGACAATTTTACCTATTGTGTCTGTTTGTTTTGTTCATGCATCGTTGTCAATATAATGGAATTTGATGCGACTGTCAAACAAGTGAGAGGTTTATTATCTAGCTATAAAACCAGGTTCAATCCACCATTTTTTTTTACATAAGAAAATGCCTGTACCAAGTCAGGAATATGACAGTTGTTATCCATTCGTTTGATGTGTTTGAACTTTTGATTTTGCCATTTGATTGGGGACTTTCCTTTTTGAATTTAAGATGTTGCAATTGGGCCCCTTTTTAAATTGGTTCACATTGATTTCAAAATGGTCCAAAATTTTTTTTCTTATTTCTACACAACTTGAATTCTTGAGGTTCTTTTGATATACAAAATGCAAATATTTTATATTTAGATTTTTAATTTTGGTCCGGTTTTCAAATTTGTCCACATTTTAAAGTCCAAAGGGTCCAAATTTTAACTTAGTTTAATTTTAACAAAACTTGAACTCTAATTACAATGAATTAGGGTTCTTTGAATGATAAATAGAAATAATCAAATATCCTGAATATAAATATGTACTTAGATTTATGATTTTGGTCCCAGTTTTCAAGTTGGTTCAAATGGGGTCCATAATTTAACTGTTTGATTTCAACAATAATTTTAAAGATGCTGATTCAGCCTGAATCTAACCTGTATTTAGTTTTTGGGCCCTATTATGAAATTGGTTTACATTGAGGTCCAAAGGGTCCAAAATTAAACTAAATTTTAAATCTTAATTTGATCTTGGGGTTCTCTGATATGCTGAATCTATTAAACTTTATCTTTATACCATATTTATTCTGTGTTAGAAACCTATTCTTTGTCGAATATTTAATCCCATTACAAATTTAGAGCTGTTATAGCTTGAATGTCCTGTCCAAACTTGCATTTTTTCTTCATCTTCCACAAAATTTGTCCTTTTCTGAGATAACTGGTGTTATCTTTTTAAATGAAACTTTAGTGAAAAGAAAAGCACAATATGAGGATATTATCTGATGTCAAACATTTTCAAGATGGCCACCAAGGATGGCACAAATTTCAACACTGGTTAATTTAATGAAAATTGTTAATTAGGGATAGTCGTGGTAGTTTGACTTGCTAATCAAAGTAAGGTTGTTTTTTCTTCCAAAATGGCAAACATTTTCAAGATGGCCTTATATGAAAATTGACATTAAGGAATTATAGCACTTTTGACATGCCAACAAAACAATGAAATTTTTTTTAAAGATGGACACAGCAAATAAGGGTAAAATTTTCAATTTGTTGAGTTTGATTTTAAAGAATATTGATATTTAGCTGTACTTTGACACAGAGAACAGATATAAAGATGGCCACCATTTCAAAGATTGTCACTAAAAGTGGTCAAATTTTCACCATTGTCTGTTTTCAATGTAAAATTATATTGAGAGGTAATTTGACATGCCAAACCAAATGGAGGCAATTTTTATTGTTGCAAAGATGTTAAGGGCTATTTGGACATGCTTAAAAGGAGTGGATAATAACTATTCTGCAAAAATGATTTGGCTTTAGTTGGGAGAATTTTGTAACTGCATCCACTTACAGTAAAAGTTGTCAGTTTTATTTCCTGTCAGTGGTATATATGAAATTAAAAAAAAAAGTGGTATGATTGCCAATGAGAACAAATGACATAGAAGTAAAGCTATAGGTCTTCATACGCCATATGGCCTTCAACAATGAGCAAGACCTATACTGCATATATATTCAGCCAATGCCATAAAAGGCCCCAAAATAAGAAAATGAAAAAATATGAAAACTAACAGCCTGATTTATGTATGTATGTTTTGTGGTTTTCAGATCTAGACTCGCAGCTAACCTTTCTGTCAGTGTCAACAACAACTGAACTTTCACAGCAGTCAACATCAGATTGGGAGACTGATAATGCTTCTAACAGAAACAATTTCAACCAACCAAACAAGCAACAGAAACTTTCCAACTTTAAAACATCAGTTAAATCTTCCATGGGATGATGTCTCAAAAAATAACAGTTCATCATTTATGGAGATTTTAATGTTATGGTTTTTCTTTTACAAGAAAGTTAATGTACACTTGTTTTATAGTAAAACCTATAGCCGTTCAAGTATAAAAAAACACATTCAACTTTATTGAAATTTGAAGATTCATATGACTTATTTTAATTCTGTTATCTCCGAGAATGTGATATAGAGCATTATAGGTACAGTAATCTTAACAGCTATCCAATTTCATTCAAAATTCTTTATAAATTTTGCACTGGTATATATAGACTACCTAAGTAATTTGTTTTTCGTCTAGTTATGGGATATTTTTATACCCCACACAACGAGTTGCGGAGGGTATAATGTTTTTGACCCGTCCGTCTGTCCGTCCGTCTGTCAGTCCGTCAGTCCTGTTTCTTGTCATCACAACTCCTCTCAAACCACACAACAGAATTTCACGAAACCTTTTTAGATAATAAGGACATACTATGTAGTTGTGCATATAGACAGGAAATTACGATTCAATTCTTTTTCTAGGAGTCACGGCCCTTTGAACTTATTTACTTTAATGTACTACTGCAACAGTTTGTCATCGCAACTCCTCTCAAACCACACAACAGAATTTCATGAAACCTTTTCAGATAACAAGGACATACTACATAGATGTGCATATCGACAGGAAATTACGATTTAATTTTTTTCCAGGAGTTACGCCCCTTTGAACTTATTTGCCCAATATACTACTGCAACCTTTTGTCATCGCAACTCCTCTCAAACCACACAACATAATTTCATGAAACTGTGTAGATAATAAGGACACACTACGTCGATGTGCATATTGACAGGAAATTATGATTCCATTTTTTTTTCTGATACAATTTTTTATTTTATTTCTCCAATGACAATGTGGGGACGTGGGGTATGTGAACGCGCTCACTAAGGTTCTTTCATTTTAGAAGCATTTATGATTTTTATGTTTGTATTGACCACATTGCAGCAACATAGATATAGGTACCTGGCAAATCTTGCCTTGTTAGCATACTAGGCTCAAAGGGTCATAAAAAAATTTCCATCACTAAGTGTCTGTTAAAATCATCTGTTTACAGTTTTCACTTTTAAATCATCATCTTAATAACTTTAGAAGAAGTGTCATACATATATATATATATGTATACAAAATTTAAAAACTTTTCAATATATATATATATATATATATATATATATATATATATATATATATATATATATATTGATAAAAACTATCAACATGACAAGATCTAAATACCCAAAATTTTTCTGAAAAATTGGACATAACATCGATGAGCTATTGTCCCTGAAATGTGTAAATTTACAAATTTTCACAGTTTTCTGCTACCTACTATCCGACAACTATATCAATATATTATAAGAATAAATTGCAAAAGTGGTCAGAAGAAACTTTTTTTTTACAGTCTGAACTTATTCTTAATTGTTTAACTTCTAATTTAAATTGATTGCGTTTGAAATATGTGTTTTTTTTATCGTTTTAGGTGCACAATTTGTCAATACGATCTATTTCGGCTCCTGGGAGCCTCTAGATTTATAATGAATAATTTGTATTTATGTATGATTATTTTCTTAATGTATTAAATGAAACATTAATTATTCTTTTCCATTTGTTTATAAGTCCAGATCCTATCATATGTCAGTAGTTACAAATTAGACGGCAAAATTGAGAAAATTTGAATATGCAGGTTACCCCATTTTGTTGTGGCATATACCAGACACCAACATTATTTGCCGAGCTTGATATTTTTTTTGATTGGGTATATATAGTTATACTTTGCAAGTAGATATGTTGTTTTACAATAATAAACGGGTCTTGGAGTATTTTGTCTCTGAAAGATGACCAAAATCAGCCATTTTGGACATGTAGCTAAATAAGACATATTGAAACAGTTAGATTATACATACACTTAATAGACAGCATTGTTAATTCTATGCATTCTTACCCTTAAAGTGATGTATTACTAGGAACAACTATCAAAAAATTATAAATGTTACCATATTTTTTTATTTAAACCAGCGAAATATGCCAAAAAAGGCTTATTTTTGCTGTTTTCGAGCAATTTCATCTGTTAAAACATGGCGCTCAAAAAATATCCAGATCGGTTTAATATTTACCCAAAAAAATTTGTGTGGTTATTTAAAGTACTAAGGTGCACCAATATGCCAAATATGAACTCATTTGGAAAAAGTGACATTCGGACGGTTTTGCATGGTTTTCTGGCAGATTGGCTCTTAAGTCAGGAACCTGACTTTCAGTGGTTGTCGTTTGCTGATGTTGTTCATAAGTGTTTCTCGTTTCTCGTCTTTTATATATATTAGGCATCGGTTTTCCTGTTTGAATTGTTTTACACTAGTCATTTATGGAGTCCTTTATAGCTTGTTGTTCGGTGTGATCCAAGGCTCCGTGTTGAAGGCCATACTCAAAATCACGGTAAATCATGTTTGCGAGTGCTTATCCTTGTCCTAAGCCTTAACTGCACCTGGTATCGCAGCACAGAATACTAACGCCAACTAAAAATCAATTGTAAATGGCATAACTCAATCGATCGGTACGAAGCACACAACAAATCTAACACAAAAAACAATTAACACAAAGCACCGATATAAGAGCACTACAATTACTAAAAGATAGATCAAAGCCAGTTGAAACCAATTAAAACATCAAGTTCTCCCAGATTGAAGTATCAGTCAGTACACAGTACATCCAATGGATGGGTAACGGATGAACTATATATATATATATTTATTTACGTTTACACATTTAAACAAGAATCAATTTATTATTTTATAAAGCTAAATTCAATGTTCGCGAATTTTCTTTTAATTTTCACGCAATTACTATCATTTGTTTTAATAGAAAATACATGGTTTATGTACGGAACCTAAAGGAACATAGTTTAGTTTATGTCCTATACATATTTTGTTACATAATCTATAATTATGTTTATATTGTTTTTCCTTTTAAAGTTTTTTTGTCAGAATGTGTCTTAAATTTCGTTTCATTTTATAGGCAATCATCGATGTTTTTGTGAATGCCAGCGTTTCAGAAGTGTTTACCTAATTGGATTCTGCAGGGATTATATTTAGTAGTTATTACAAGAGAAGTATCATAAACAAAGTTTCCCTAGTGTAGTTGAAAACAAATTTCGTCTGTCTCCGGTGAAGGCTTCGTTGAAGCAAGACATGATTTCAGTATCATTGTTACCCTTCTTTATCAAATTCTGTTTGAACTTCAACAGAATTTCTCTAAGGTCATTAACAATGTTTGATGATTTTCTGTAACGAATTACTTTTCCCCGGATAAATTTTTAAACACAGACTACTTCTGGGAGCTTTTCTATGCAGATATAGAAAGAAATTTGTTGGATTGAAATGGGTATACATATCTTATTCAAAATGTATATTGCTTGCATGATTTCTACTGCCTTTAAAGAAATAAACGGCTAGAAATGTTCTATTTGATTCTGAAATTTTATATTTAAGTTTAGGGAATTTAAGATGGCTTTTAGCCGTTTCAAAAAGTTCTACGTATTCGTGTCATTCCTTCGTTCATGTATCTTGCATAACAGTTCATGTATCTTGCATTATAAAAAATTTCCTTCATTATACAATGTAATAAAATAACACTACATTCAGGTGCACAGGAAGCATCACTTGGTATAATTTATTATTACGTTCATAGATATTGTAATGCAGAACATTTCCCAGGAGGAAAATTAAATCATCTGCAGAGGAATATTTTAGATTATATTGGGATTTAGCATTTGCGTCGTAAAATACTCCTACTGCTGAACGAATTTCTTTAACTGGACAGTTGTTAAGGACCGGACGTTATGTCAAAACTTGATGCAGTTATCTTGATTGCTTGTCTCTATTTTTGGATAAAATCAGCAGAATTTCTGATATAGGTATAGTGTTGTTTTACTATTGACACAAGGAAATAATCACCTACCCGTAAATAATAATTTAGATGATTTCCTCAAACTTCATCCAATCAATGTTGAGGAACTGAAATATTTACAGAGACCAAATGCATTTAGAAACCTCAGGTTTTATCTATTCGACCAATAGTTTAAAAATGACATCAGGCCTGTAATTTATTTCCGACAATTATATCAAATAATAAAATAAAATATTTCATTGTTTCCCTACAAGAGAAACATTTTTTTATAATGCCAGATACATGGATTACGGTATGATAATCCGCCATGGTAAAAGACACGAATCAGAAGAATTTTTTGAGGTTAAAAGTCATCACAATTCCTCATATTTACATATGGAATTTTAGAATATACTGCTACATTCATTTGTTCAAAAGGAGAAGTAAAAATCCGCTAATGAGAACTATGTATCCGTATTCTCCAGCAGCCGGTTGTATGAAAGGTTCATTAGCTTAACTGCTTAATGAGTCATTAAGACTTAATGGTTCATTAAGTTCTTAATAGGACATAAGTTAATGAGTCCATTAAAATGTGTAGCACGAAGCAAAATTTTATTGCTCATTAACTAATGAACATCTAATAAAGGATGCGTCATTAAACTATCATTAAATATTGGTTTTCCCCTAAGTATTTCCCACAATTCCATTTCAAAGTTGTAAACATTCGCAGTCTACAAGGTTATCACCAACAACAATGAAGATGTCTGCTAGTGGTTCTAAAATGCACATAAATAGATCCAAATATTTGAATCAACTGAAATAACCTTTATCACGGTACTGGTACAGCAAAACATCTCATTATTAAAAGACAAATTTAAGTCTAGTCACGGTACACTTCCATGACAGATGAAGAAAAAGCGTTTGGTATGGGAGCACATTACCGTAAGGGTAAACCCTTTAGGTGTGTGCCGCAGAAATTAAAACAAAATGGTCCAACTTGCATCAAGTGGCAAAAAAGGCATTTACGGAAAAGGTCCGTGACCACTAGAGAACTGGCGGAGGTCCACCGTTCAAACCTTTGTCCGAGACACAATAGAAAATAGTGGATATCTACAAGGATTGCCCGGGTTTGGGGGTGGAATCACCAATTGATGCAACTGACAAGGATTCCAGTCTTGCTACAACGGGTTGTGCTAAAATGAGAAACGCAATAAACGAAACGAAACGAAATGAAATAAATTCAATTTATATTATGAAAAAAAGTACAGCACATATATGTATACATATATGCTAAAATTATAAACGAAAAACAATTATGACAGACAGCTACGGTCAACAACAACCGAGTTAAAAGCTCCTGATTAGGGTCAAGCACATAAAGAATGCGACAGGGTTAGCCAAGGGACCAACATATAGAATTCCCCAGCCTA